TAAAGCATTTAGGAGTAAGATTGTAATTTATTTTTTATTTTTCTTTTCTTTTTTTGGTTTTATTTAAATGAGAGAGAGTTTTGGTCATTTTACATTAAAAATGGTGAAAATGACATTCAACACAAAGAAATGTGGAAGGTAAGGGTGAAAATGTCAAAAAATGAAATGTAGGAACGTTTTCCACAATAAATTTGAAAAGTAGGAACGTTTTGTACCAATTACCCAATCTTACTTTTACATTGCAAAATGTTGAAAATAAAGATGCTTGGGAATTTGGGGGTAGTTGGGTTCGTAATGTCATTATTCGACCACAAAATTCAACGATCCTTTAGAACAAATACATCATCCTTACATAACGTTCACTGAAGATTCTGTCGAAGGTGACGGCGTCGGAGATGGATGAGATTGCTACACTAGGTGGAGGTTTTCTCTAGTGGTTTTAAAAAACAAACAAGATTGGCTGAGAAATAGAAACCAAGACACAGAGAAGACAGATAAATTAAAGTTGTGGCATTTTAATCTGATCAAGATGGAGAAGACTGATTCAGTGATCATCAAAGATGAAATCATCTGTTGCCTTTGATGGTTTATTCAATTTGGGGATAAGGTGAAGTGCAACGGCTTTCTTTTCATTTGGGTTTGTGCAGACTTTTTACTTTCTATTTTTTTTTTTTCAATTGTCATGTCAGAATGTCAACAAAAGTGTAAACCTCGATGTACATATAGCATGGTCGCTCAAAATGTGTATTTTCATGTGTAATATGAGACTGGTTCTTAACTTTGAAATTAATATCATGTTAGTTTATTTAAATCTTAATGATTTATATAGATTAATAATGAGGGACAGAGCAGCACAGGATAACGTCAAATTCCGACCACACTGACTCCTCATTCTCGAAGTCAGACCAAGGATATTTCTCCATATCTCTAAATTTAGGATTTTTCTTTTTCTTTTACCCTTCCCACCTCTATCCGTTTTCTTCTTCCTCGTCTTCTTTTTTTTGCCATTTTTTCTTGTTTTCCTTCAAAATTTTACCGTTTTATGATTTCGTAAGTCAGTTATTGGGGTTCTCTTTCTCTCTTCCCTAACCTGATTCTTCTGTTCTTGATCTGTCCATCATCTGTTGGGTTTAATAATCTCCAGAAGTTACATTATTATCAATAATAATATGATGTATGGAGGCACCCAAAGCAAGATAGACTTGGCAATTGAATACCAAGCACAGATACCCATATTGAGGCCAAGCATTCGTGCAAGACGGGCAAATATAACGGTGAAATTCCAAGATCTGTATGGTTTCACAGTGGAAGGCAATGTCGATGATGTCAATGTGTTGAATGAGGTGAGAGAGAAGGTGAGGGAACAAGGCAGGGCATGGTGGGCATTAGAGGCTAGCAAAGGTGTAAATTGGTATTTGCAGACTCGGTCCTCCACAACCCTCAAATCATCCCTCAAATTCTCTGTTTTGGTCAATGGTATGACGCTAAAGAAGCTCATTAGGAAGGGTATCCCACCAAGCTTGAGGCCTAAGGTCTGGTTTGCCTTATCCGGAGCTGCCAAGAAGAAGTCCACCGTTCCCGAGAGCTATTACAATGACTTGACTGGTGCAGTCGAGGATAAGGTCACCCCGGCCACTAAACAGATTGATCATGTAAGGATCTATTTTTCAGCTAAATCTTTATGAATTATTAATCCAACATTGGAATTAGATAACTGTTTGGCTTTTGATTCTTGTGCAACAGTGGCTATATGATATTCTTCCATTAGAAGTTTAGCAAGAGAACGTGTCACAGTATTACATAAATTTAGCAATTTGATCCACCGGTTTAAAATTTAAATTAATTTGTTCAGATATGCATTTCATAGTTTTGTTGTGGGCAGCATTATAACGCTTGCTGTGTTATTTTCTAATTATGCTCTTGTAGTGTTTTTCTATTAGTTATGCACATTAAAGTGAGTTACAGATTCAGAATGATTATGTTATATCCTGAGTAGGTGCAAGACACCTCCTTTCTCATGAGTTCCGTCAGAAATTGCCGAACTTCTCAAAACATGGAATAATTGGATAGATTATTTAGGAATTCCCTTCCTTTAGTAATTTAATATTTCGAAACAAGGGTAAAGACAAAAGCTATGAATAGTGGAGATATTGAAATTAAAAAGGTGAATTATCAAGACGACACCAAAGTCTAAGATGCTGCGATAAAGTGATTGACATTATGTTGCACATGATTTCACATGATTTGAAGTCTTACTTCCATAATAAGTTTTTTGAACAACTAATAGTTGACAGTTGTCAGAAAATATATGGAATATGAATGGGGACTTTGTCAAATTTAGGTTTTAGCCCCCGTTTGATTATGATTTTTCACCCCAAAAAATCATTTATTTGACCATTACTTTCTTATGTCAACCGTCATTTTTTACTTCTTCACTCGAAGGTGGGACCAACTTTTCTTTCTAACGGTCAAAAAATTGATTCTCAAAAAAAGCACTACCGAACAGGCAGTTAACAGGATTCTTTTACTTTAGATCAATGAATCAGATTCAACATATTAAGGAAAAAAACACGATTGTACTACAAGTTTAAAAGAAAACTTTCAATAGTATAGATATTATTATTTTTTTTTACTATTGTAAACATTGCGAGTTCCATTGGAAAGTTTGCTGTTCTAACACTAACCAAATTGTTTCTTTTCTATCTTCTAAAAACTGAAATGTGTAGGATGTTTCCATCTAAAGGAGTTAGAACTTTGACCATGATACTTAATTTATTGTCTTGATAAGTCAATCTGTTCCGTATGTTGTTCTGCTGGAGGTAATCGTTCTCTGTTCGCTTCCTTCTTAATATTGTGTGTGAGTGGGCGGGGTGCATGCATGGAGCGAGGAAGATTCCATGCATTTAATGCTTTGATAGTTGATAATCTCAACTTTTTTCTTGAGGATTCTAGCTGTCTTTAACATCAACGAGGAATATCCGATTACTTTCTTTTTCATTGCGTATATTCTTCTGTTTACATTAATAATTTCTGAAACATAATCAAGCACCTTCGTGTTTTTATGTTGGTTAATATTTGGCACATGAGTTGGTTGACTTGACTCAATATTGTCAATGAAAATTGTGATATAATCTAACTTCATTGCTCCATCCAACATTCAGCAGTTCAAAAATGGAAATATTGAAATTACCAAAACTGAGGGAACATCCTCATATTAAGCCCCCGTTTAGCCCCCATTTTTGGTAATGAAAATGGGGGGAATAGTGTTTTGTTGAAAAATGAGTGGTTGAAAAAGAAGGAAAAATTTTCGATTTACGTGTAATATTATTTTATGGAAGATTGTGTGGTTGAAAATAGGGAAGGAGAAAAATAGATGTAATCTTAATGTCGATAGATGTTCCGCTTCTCTGCTCAACAAAAAGACGCAGGGATGTGCTAACGTGATCTTTGCCCTTCTTTCCTGTTAGTCTTATTTGTTTCTCAAATTATAACTGAGAGTTGGGATGTCGGGAAGAAGAGAGATTTTTGATGAGGGAATACAAGTCAGGATGGTTGTGATATGTTGATGTGGATTTTGTGAAAACGGTTAATGTAGTTCATAGATCAGATTGATCAATGGAGATTTATTTGCTATTCATTAGACATGTTATAGAGTAATAGGTATCAGAGCCCAAACAAGTCATACATAAATGAACTCCAATTTATGATGGGGGAATACAAGTCGAGATGTTTGCCATATGTTGCTGTAAATCTTTTGAAAACGGTTAATGTAGTACGTATAATAAAATAATTAACAGAGAATCATTTGCTATTGTTAAGGTGTGCTCTAGAGATATCAGACTCCAAAGTTTTATGGTAGAATGGGGAGTGACAAGGACAAATTAAAACTAAATGAAGTTATTACGAGTGGAACAGTCACTTGAAATTCAATAAAGAGATAACCCCAGACCTAGCAGGGGTTAGCCAGCTCCTAATTATTTGGATAAAAGTTTACTACATTGTCTCTAAAGTTTGAACTCTCATAGCATTAAAAAATTGGTGTAAGTCACTTATCTATAGTAAAATACCTAGTTAGCTACGAGGATGTAATTTCTAGCAAGCTACAAGATATTTGAGATTGCACAAACAACAACTGCAGTAGTGGGAAAGTTTGTCTACTTTACTTGTATCATGATCTTTTGATCCTAGATGCATTATTTTTTTATTTTTTTATCTTTGCATTGTTCCATGTTTTTAATCACGTATTCTAATAATGCATGAATGCAGGACCTGCCGCGAACTTTCCCTGGTCACCCGTGGTTGGACACTCGCGAAGGTCATGCTGCTCTTAGGCGTGTTCTTGTTGGGTATTCATTCCGTGATTCTGATGTCGGTTATTGTCAGGTGGATTCTCTTTTCACATTAGTAACAATACAATAACATTCATGGCCAAATAGATCTTTTCAACATTTGGGTATTTTTGACTGGATCAAACTTACCTAAATGAATTATGGCGTAGGGTTTAAATTATGTTGCGGCATTGTTATTGCTAGTGATGAAAACAGAAGAAGATGCTTTCTGGATGCTTGCTGTTCTCTTAGAAGATGTGCTAGTTAATGATTGTTATACAAATAACTTATCTGGATGCCATGTTGAACAAAGAGTGTTTAAAGATCAGCTGACCAAAAAGTGTCCAAGGTCTTCTCTCTTTTCTCTTGTTTGATGCTGATATGGTTTCATATTTTCAATTTTTCGTGGTCTTTTAAAGTTGAAGATAAAAGCAAGATGCAGGATAGCTGCTCATTTGGAAGCTATGGAGTTTGATGTTTCTCTTGTTTGCACGGAGTGGTTTTTATGTCTATTCTCTAAAAGCTTGCCATCAGAGGTTAGACTACTTTTCACTTTGCTCTCTCATATATGAAATACGTAAACACCTCCGTATTCAATTGGGCTGATTACTAACAATTTTCCGTCCATTATTTGAAGACAACCCTTCGGGTATGGGATGTTCTTTTCTATGAAGGGGCCAAGGTTCTGTTTAACGTAGCATTAGCAATTTTCAAGGTGACAAACCTTTTTCTTTCATTTTATTCTTTTGGATTTCAGCTCAATAATGGAAAATGAAGACTTTTTGATGAATACAGATGAATGAAGAAGAGTTGCTTACGGCACATCATGTTGGTGATGTGATTAATATTATACAGAGAACCACTCATCATCTTTTTGATCCTGATGAATTATTAACGGTAACGACCCTCTCAACGCTCACATTCTCACATCAAAGGGATCACTCTGTTGTCTAAATCCTAAATCGATCATCTTTTGTCCCCTATTGAATACAATATTCAGTTTAGTTTAGTCTAAATACAATAGCTCCTTGTTTCTTGTTATTTACTCCTCCATAAATTCACACACTAATCGTATTCTTCCCGTTAAGTGTAATGAGTAATAGAAAATGGATAAAGGAAAAGCCTTTCAAAGAGTATCTGATGGTATAATAGTCTTTTTACCATTAGATCAGTGTCAACAGATGGGAGCAATGAGCATGATTTTGCTTATTATTTCTAATACAATGGTAATAACCCATCTATTTTCTTGATCTAATGTTTTTTCATTTTCTTTCGTTCCTTATTGGCAAATGAAAAGTTGTGAAGTTGGCTGGGTTTTATTCACTTTCAAGCAATCAATTGTGACAGAGAAATTTGTTTCACAAATGTGTGGTAGGTTGCCTTCGATAAAATTGGGTTTATGACAACTACGACGATATCAAAGGAAAGGAAGAAGCAGGAACCAGCAGTTCTGGCAGAGCTTGATCAGAGATTAAGACGGCTAAATTCCTTAAATGAGGATGACAAATAACATGTTCGACTTTGATGGCATTTGTTGCTTCAAATTTGTAATCTGTGTAAGTATTAGTTGGCGAACGTGTATTTCTCGACCTGTTTAGGAAACTTTCTGAATTCTGTAAGGATTCAGTTGCATTATAAGTCGATCGTCTTGATCTTGTTCATTCATTTTCGAGGTTTCTCGTTTGCCTTCAGTCTAATAACAAAGATGGTTTATGAGAGAGCTAAGTTAATGTTGAAGTTTGGGTCCAAATAGAGGTGGCTCCTTCCTGTCCCTAATGAAATTTGTGGGAGTTGGGGGTAAATACAATTTAAATATTAAATTAAAAATAAATAAAATAAGAGAGTCAAGATGGAGATCATGTTCCCGTCCGTGCCTCGATTCTCCGACCAAAAATTGGGTTACCTCAAATAAAATTATCATTTCTATACCTCTAATCCTTTAATTTTATTTTCACAAAATTCTCTCTAATTATTACAACTTCTCTAATATTATTTTCTAATTCCTTCTGTTATTTACCTTCATATATTTTAAGTTTAAAATCTGTTAATTTTCCATAAAATGGATTTTATAATAATGAAGTATTTATTTATTATGAGGGGTTCACTAGTTAGTATAATAATTACACATCACCAAATGAAACTTAATTTTATATACACCTCATTGACAAACTCTATTTGTCAATGTTGTCAAGATTGGATCGGAGGCCGGTTCTACCAAAAAAATTGATAACATTTCAATTATACGTTTAAAAAGAACTGCCAGTTCATTTTAGAAATTTATTTTTAATAATTTTCTTAGTAAAGGCCAACCTTCAATCTTGATTCAACCAATTGACCCATAATCTTTAATATTTTTCGAGTCAATATCCACATCGATTTTAAAACATTGTAAATTGTAGGAAATGTTGAGGATAGATGTTTAACATTCCGTTGAATATGAGAAACGCTTTGTTGCATATTGAGGACCGTGTCAATTGCATGCCGAGATTTTTAAAATTGCATCATAATATTTTATTTTCCTCTTGAAGATCATGACATACAATGACTATTTAACCTATTAATCAATATAAAGCAGTCAACGATAAGTATGAGATCCACGAATACAAATATAATCTCATTCACGCAAACGCGGACACAGGTGGTGCATGGTTGTCGTCAACTCATGCCGTAAGGTGTTGTGTTCAAAAAAATTCCCAATTCTCCTTTTGGGGCTTAGACGACCCGAGTAACATGGGATACGTGGAATCCTATCAAATAGGCACTATCTTCGTATATCTTACCTAAACCTATCGAAGCACAAAGGGGATGGTCTTCTTTTTTAATATTCAATCAAGAGAAACCCCTCTAATAAAATAAACGGAATATACCAACACTAAAATATTAGAAATCAAAATATTGAGAAGGATTGAGCAAATTGATAAAAACTTCGTCAATTTTATTTAATTAATATAAGAACCAACCTCCAAATAATGAAACCCTACTAGTCTTTTAAATTATCAAATCCTACAAAAATATAAAATGACTTAATTATCCTTAGCAAAAATACTAAATTGAGAATGCATTAAAAGCAATAGAAATAAGAACTAAAACAACAAAAAGCCAATGAATTAAATCGAACCATCCCCGTAGCCTTGGTAGCATCACAATGTGTAACAATGAGACGCAAGAAAACAAGGATTAGAAATGCAATGCAATGCATTCCATGCTAATTCCTACAGAGAATGTGCAAAATTGAGGTCCCTCCCTTGCTGCATTTAATGTAATGCTACATATAATCGAGCTTTTTCTTGCATATCGAGAAAGTCGTTTAAGAAAAGAAAGCAGAGCGATTATGGACCATCTGAGAAATTTAGATACAAAAAATGTGCAGTGCCGGAAGTTTTCGTCTTTCTTGTTTAGTTATGTTTCTTGCTTTTGGGGTTATTTAAGTAGAAGATTTGTAGCAGATGGAATAGCATCTAACAACCAGTCAACCTGAATGGATTAAGGAAACTATACACATAAAACAAGCTTTCATGAGCTTGACTAGTTCATTGAAAAGTAAAGTCCGACTAGAATGCACATATAAACTCCCTTTCAAATTCCAGACGGTTCATCAGATAGCATACACCTTTTGCACCAACTCTTCTTATTAAGCCGTATGTTGTTCTCCAGAGTTTAATACTGATAATTGGGTCAGAACAAAAGATCGTCCATTCTTAGATGATGAAGTTTAAATCTATTTTATCGTAGTCAAGTTCCCTCAGCTGAGAAGAAATAATGAGAATCTAGTAGAAATATTATTTAATTTATTTTTTAAAATAGATATTTATTTTAAAAAAAACGTAATAAGACTTTATATAATAGATTTTCTAGTATTTTAATCGTTATTTACTTTCCAAATTGAATACTTATTTACAAAAAAAAAAAAAACATAATTAGAGTTTTATCTAATAGATTTTCTAGTATTTTCCTACTTCTAGTTTAAACCCCTATGTAAATGACTTATGCATTGTAATAGTTAAATTGATATGGAATAAACTGACATTTTCTTCCTCCTAATTCCGTTTATTTTCTCCCTCTTCTTCTCTCTTTCTCTTCCTCTTTTCTCAATCCCATTCTTGTACCATTCGTTCTACATCATCCAATGCTAAGTTCAGACACTAAGGGTTACAAATCACAAGTAAATTGTACCCATAAATAGAAACGACTAGGAAAATAGACTTCTTAACACCCTAATTCCTAACTAAACCCGAAAAGAAATAACCACGGAAACATTTTAGCATAGTCAACAACCCCACCCAACTTGTTTCGCTTCCATTCGTAACTTCTCTCAATACAATGCCATCATCATCCAATTGCCCTCCAATTCAGTTGCATATACATGTGAACTCAAACCTTCTCAAGCCGTAAGGCAGTTTCAGAATGTTATTTCTTCAAAGTACAAGGCTTTCAAGACTTCAAATCATTATATCATGAAGATTTTGGAAAAGTTCCGAATAAACTTCTGATGCATTTGTTTTGCCCACATATCTATTCCCAATCTCAGTGTTATATCTAATTTACCAAGGATGATCATTTTATCAAATACTAATCTTCCATGGCCATGGTTTCAAGCTCTTTAGTTTTCTATTCAGCATTCTTTCTTCTTTTTTCCTTTTCCTATCTTGTTTTTTCTTTTTCTGTGGGTGGGTAATTTCTTCTGTTTTAACCTGCTCCAACAACACTTCAATATCCAACAGTGACTTTACATATTTGAAGGCCATTTCACTGGAAAAGCAGGCAATGCACCAGAAAAATATCTCCAGCCAGACAGAATTCAAAGTGCTGGATGGCATCAGCAACCGATCTTGCTGGCTCCAACTGTTGCTGGATGGTAAGGACTGGTCGCTTCCGTAATTCTAATGACAGCAGGAGAGTTTTCCCAACAGCAATGCTAGTGAGAAACATGTAATCATCGTTAATTATTGTCAAACTTCAACGCTACCGGACTTATTTCAGGTTTAAACATCTCTTCAGAATATTCAAATAATCATATGACCATCTTTCCCGTCATTTGGCCGTTATACACGTAATCACTGTTCAATTATGCTCGGCAAGCTGGTTCAGTTTTGGGAAATCTATTTCAAATTCTTTTGACATCACCTCCAAGTCTTCAAACAATGGGAAAATGGATCTGCTGTATTAAAAGCATATAATTGAAGAAGGAACGATGGTGTTGGATTTTATATGCAATAATAGAGAAGTGAAAGAGTGGAAATCAACACAATTTTAGCCCAAACTCATACAAGATTTTAGGACCTGTACAAGAAAACACTCCTGTACCGTGCTGCGCGGGCAACATCGTTCTAGCAAACAGACAGTAAATTAACACCTGCAAGGATGCCTCCGCTTTGCTCCAACATCGGCCAATTTATTCCAGTAAACATGTGTTTCATTCCATATGAGCCACAAACGCAACACATGGCATAAAGGGGCCTATGCCTAATATATGAATTTGTATAGAATTGTTGAAATGTATATGTTTACTTAAGTATGAGTCAGGTCACGGCTAAAATGACCACCGTTAAAGTTCATTGGGTTATCCTGCGGGTTGGCAGGAGGGGGGATTGAAATATTGGGCTCAACTGTATCACACGAATATCTTACATTCCTAGGGTTCAAAAAGTCTCTAAGAACATGAACCAACTTTTCCAGAAAAAAAATCCTACCGATTGTTCAGCCAAAAAGTAGCATCCGATATCCAATCAATGCAAAATGATTGAAGAAATAAACAAACAAGGGATCTCTTCTACAGGATTTCAAACTACTACATTTGACAGCCATTTCCTGTCAATAGCAAATGCTCAAGCAAGAAGAAATATAACAATCTCGAACAATTCTACAATTAGGACATCGACCATAGGCCTCATAAATCAGGGAATCTAAAAACTGAAACATATATCTTATTTAGAATGTATAATTCACCACAAGATAGATTTTCATGGCCATGAATTTGTAACCATATTACCAATTAATTGATGCAGTTTCTCACATGTAGATTCTGTTATTGGTAATTCCAATGTAACCTGTACAAATCAGAAGAATATAATTAGAAATGAAAAAGATTAACTGACTAAATGCAAAATCTCATAACATAGATTTCTTCTTACAAAAAGTTGACTTGGGTAGTTCAGCCGTCTTAGTGCGGATTATCAATGATCCTTTTTACTAAATTTTGGTGCAATAAGCAATAAAAAAGGACATAACTGACAACATCAAGCTGTCGAAAACAGTTTACTGGATGGGATCGACTGCTATATTTTTAATGGGTTTATAAAGTGGTTCAGGGCTTCTCTTCAGCAGTTTAAGAAGGGCAACAATTTGATAAGTGAACAAACCATATGAATCTAACTCACAAGCAAAACTGAAGTACCAACCCTCTAAGTGACTAGTAAGTCCTCTTAGAATGATATATTCATCTTCTTGAGGATTAATTGCAGGCCTTGAAAACAAACTTTATTCATTTGTTGTACTGGTGATGTGAAAGGCGATGTAAGCTCACCTCTTTGAAGATCTCACTGTAAGAAATCTTCTGAAAGCCCTGCAGAAGCATATGAAGTCTATAGTTAAGCTTTGACATTCAAATTAAATCATGAGGAAACAAATATGCACGCATGTTCTTTATACAAAAAATAAGAAAAAAGTGTAAAAGTGAAAATAAGTTCATACATATACAGCAAAATGGCATGAACCTGTTAAAATTAGATCAAATAAATGCATAACATAAGGAAACCTTTGTTTCTAAGTGTGTCTGACTGTGAGTGTGTAAGCCTCGTGCATCCCTATGTGTATCTATTAAGTCACATGAGACCTTAAATAAGAATTTGTGTGCATTTGTACGTGCAAGAGAGAGAGAGATATATCCACCATTTTGTGGAATAGATTAAGAGAAGCTTTGTTTGATTCCCCAATTTTAGCATGAAAAGCATGGATGCCAAACTTCTCCACTGCAAATACCATCATCATCAGAACTGACTCCTGAGCAAGTCCTTTGCCACGACTATGCAAACCAAGTGTCACAAAAAGATATGAGTGAGGAAATTTGTTACGAGTAGTGACTAACAAAGTACAATGGAACACATTAACTGAGAGAAAAAAAAATAGAAAACACATCCACATACATTAGAGTACCCTTATCATTTTAAGAGCTACTACCACTGATAATAATGAGAACTATAAGCTGTTTGATTGGTGACTTAGAGAGCAGAGTGATACTGAAGCAGAATCATAACTAAGTTACGATGTTAATCCGAAAAGATACTTGAACTGCATTTATTCGACGTGTTCAAGAGATGATTAGATGTATTTGTAATTTTTTTGTGAGAAATGATGTTCAAGAGATACTAAAGAGCAAACATTTTATTTTTCACCTTGATTACTTGATAAATAAGTACTATGAAGATGATCTATTGGTGGAAGTTTCATAGATAAAGGTGAGTCAATATACCGACCCAGAGAAAAAGAATGGAGTATGGCTTTGCTGAGTTGAGTTGAGTTGAGTTGACTCCAAATTTATTGGGCATAAGGCCTAGTTTGATGTAATTGTTGTTGTTATGATGGCCTATAAATCTTGCACAACTTCCTGGAAATTCTAGCCGTCAATTTTTTCTAAAATTTATAATTCATTTAGTTCCTGGAAATTCTATCGTCAAATTTTTCTAAAATTTATAATTCATTTGGTTCAAAAATTTCTTTATTATCGTATTTCTACTGATTTGAGAAACTGCATTGGGATGAGGTAAATAACTTCCTCAAAGTAACAATTGAGGTTAGAAGATGAAATTCACTGTGATATTCTAAGTTACGAATTAGAGTTTTATTTTTATTTTTGACAGAACACTTCATTGTGTGTCATCAATATTAGCTGCACCTTTTCCTGTGAATTCCATTCCTAATAATTGAAGCCAATGGAATTTTCTAAAAGAATTTAAATGAATATCAATATTTGGAAGGGAAATACCTTTTCAGCTCAGCAATCATTATTTCAATCTCTGCCATCTGGGGATCATCCAAGTCATTCATATATATATTCACATCACCAACCATGGCTGAAAAGGAAAATTACAAATAAGAATGGCATAGGATAGGGTAGTTAAACCAAAAGCAGAAAATCTTTCTCTTCAACCCCTTTTTTTAATCTATTTTATATTTAAAATATAGTAAAAAGCCAAATTATATGTTTTCGACCCAAAGTCGTTACAGCTTGACAGCTTGAACCATGAAGAAATATGTCAAGCTTGAACCATGAAGAAATATACCCTCATTCCAGAGCTTCTGTCATTTATTTGAAAATTCTGGTCCATTTTTTGTATGGAATTCAACATCAAAAACCAGTGACTAAATATTACAAACATTCCCTCTGATCCAAATCAGAATTCAAGTGCTTTCACCAAAGTTCAAGCTATAACTTGCCATGAGGCCTTTCATTAACTAATATTTAACACAGACCAATGGCATATGAAACTCCAACGCAAGGTTAAAGTACAACTGCCTCAAGTCGAAGAATTATAGCCCACAGTAACTAATGCACCATATGTTGCACCTTGATATGACCTTCAATGTGGGGATAAAATAAGATAATGACCTTCAATGTGGGGATTTCCAGGAATGAAGTCTCCAATAACCAATTCTTTGTCCAATACTATAAAGGTCTGCTCTGCAAAAACAGAAGCCAACTCCAACAAATCATCTTCATTCTTTTCTCTGATTATGCTAAAAATTAAGACAAAATATAGTCTAAATTAAATTGAAACCCTCCAAAATTTATTAACTAATGATAAGTATTCAAAGAGTGAGGTATCATTATGCATACTGAGGGAGTCTTGTGTCCAGGAGACTTGCATGTCATATTCTTGTTCGAGTGTGAGGGGCTCGGAAGCGGTGGCTTCGAGGATGGCAGGATCTTGCATCCAATCATGGTATTTAGGCACGTGCTCCCTCATGTAAGGTACCAGTATCACCTTTTCTCCTTCCACGCTCGCCTTCATTCTATCTTTACTTCTCTATACCTGAATAAGATTTATACCACCGTAATTTCAGAATTCACATTAAACACTTAAGCTACTTGATATACATCTCGTATAAATACATATTTAGCAGTTTTGACAAGCCATCGATCGATTTAATCGCCAAAAGGAGTTGAAAAAAAGTTGAGAAGCAATGTTAATTTCTCTGAGGCTTTGCATCAAACACTTGAAGGGCATACAACCAATTCCGTAGGCAATGAACGCTATAGGAAAAAAAAAATTACTTTTATTTTTGACCTAACAGTATTATCACTTCATGCGTTAAAATCCTTTTATTTCAAACAAGTAGACAAAGAATCTGAAAAGAAGTAAGCACCACTTTTACTAAAAATTACAAAATTGTCACTAAAAATAGTTAACTTGACCAAAATACTACTTTCTGCATTCTGGGTTCCCTAAATATAATATTACTTCCATTTAAAAAAAAAAAAAGGGTAATTAGTATATAACGTTTTTACCTCTTACTATCGTTATGAAGAATGTCCATACCTTCATTTTTTGCAATTTTCATCCTTATTTTCACATTTAATTGCATAAAAGATCATTTTCTTCAATTTTTTGAATTAAAAGCTGTGAAATAACAAATGCATTATTCTATTTAAATAAAACAAAAAGTAAATGAAAGAATTAATTGTAATCACAGTCCCAAAATTTTTAAAAAAGTACAAACGAGTCCAAATAAATTGTTAAAAGAGTAATTAGCACTTAATATCCCTAACTTTCACTATTACTGTGAAAAACGTTCATACTTGTCAATTTTGGAATTTTCTCCGTTACTTATACCTTTAATTGCGCAAACCACCATTTCTATCAATTTCATCCAATTTCTCGATTATGATAGCAATTTTTTTTCTTTTACTTAAATAGGAGGGTATATATATAATTTCATAGTTTTTATTTTATTGAAAAATTGGATTAAAATGGATAGAAATGATGATTTGCACAATCAAATGTGTAATTAAAGGGTAAGAATGCTAAAAAAATAAAAGATATGAACGTTTTTTTACAACAATAGTGAAAGGCAAGGATATTATGTGTTAATTACCTTTTCTCTAATTTATTTGAGACTCATTTGCACTTTAAAAAAAAATTGGGACTATGATTGCAATTAATTTTTTTTATTTAAATGAATGATATATTCGTCATTTTGCAGTTTTTAATTATGAAAATGGATGAAAATGACATTTTGCACAATAAAATGTGGACATAATGGTGAAAATGTCAAAAAAAATGAAAGGTAAGGATATTTTCCACAATAATAGTAAAATGTGGGGACATTATGTGCTAATTAGTAATTATCCTTTTCACTCTTAATTACACATTTGATTACGCAAATCATCATTTCTATCCATTTTTATCCAATTTCTCAATATAAAATGATAAGTGCGGGTTTTTGGCATGTATTCGAACCATTAAACTTAGATATTTGTGAGTTTCATTAGTGATTTATTGCTTAATTTAATTATTTTTATTATGTAGTTGAAAACTCGACTTTGAACGATGATTGAAAGGAATTTATGCAAGAAATGAGCTAAAGATAAAGGAAAACGAAGAAGAAGACCAAAGACACAGCCGAAAACTAAATAAATTTTTTTTTAAAAGAAAGCAGATTGGGCGCCACAACACCCAGAACTGAGCAGAATCTGGGCGCCTAGGCGCCACTCGAGTATTATTAAAAAAATTTTAAACTTCAAGGACCTTTACTGCAAATTTCCGTTAGGTTATAATATTAAAACCTTAACTTTTGAAAAAAATAAAAAAAATAAAGACTTCTTCTTGAGGGCAAAAAAAAAGGCAGCCGATTTTCTTGGTTCTCTTGCTTTTCTTTTATTTTTCTTTTTCCTATTTTAAAAAAAAAAAAAAAAAAAAAAAAAAAAAAAAAAAAGAGGAGCAAGAGAGAGAGAAAAAAAAAAGCAGCCACTTCTTCTTGGAGATTTGGGGGCAGCCGATTTTCTAGGTTCTATTGCTTTTCTTTTATTTTTCTTTTTCTTCATCTTACATCTTGCTTAGATATTTTGGAGAAGATTAGAGCTTGGAGATGGTGAAATAGCATGGAAGAGGAGACCCATTTCTCAATCATTACTCTCATTATCAATAAGCTCTTCTTTTCTTTAATTTATTTTCCATTAATGAGTTATAAGAATTTGTTGGTTATTTGTGGATATTTCATGGGTAACTAAATATATTTGTAGTTGGGGATTATTTCAAACCCGAGTTACGATTCTCAATTAACTTGTACTTCATAGTTCTCTTGATTAATGTGTTTAATCCATTGTATTAATTGTTAATTTTGTTCTTCTTAATTATTTAGGTGTACAACTAAATGATTGAGTTGTTTCAATTAATGCTATTTTGGAATTTATAGTATGTAATAGTTATTTATTCTAAAGTCTTATAGCAATTACATTTCGATAGATTGTGAATAATTTTCAATTGAATGTATGTGGATTAACACTTAAGTTAATAAACAGAGCTTGCGAGTCTGCCCTTAATTCAATTTATCTCTTTTGTTGTAATGTGTTTATTAAATTAAATCTAGAGAGCTTGTTTTAGGTTGTTTAATGAATATGGTCGAGCAAAGAGCTTGTTTTATTGGACTAACATGTAAGAAGAGATTGAGATAATTGAACATGTAATTATTCTTGAATTGTTGTTAATCTTGAGAACGAAAAATCTATTGTGGTAATTGACATGAAAATCATTCTCGTGTTGACGAAATATCCCTCAATCACATTTTCTCATATTCCATCGACAACCAATTTGTTTATTTCAAATTTCAAGTCTTTTCTATTTCAAATTTATCGCTTTCCTTAGTTAAACGAACCAACCCCTCATTTAATATATTTCGCATTTAATTGTTAATATTATGTTTTTGTGCGCAATTGACATAATTAAATTAGTCATCTGCGGAAAATGAACCTCACTTGCCATATTACTACTAAGACGACACATTAGATTAAGTAAGGAAAAGTAATTGGAACGTGATTTGCAACGTATCATAAAAGTTATAAAATGATGAATATATTCTCCTATTTAATTTTTTTTTAAATAAAGAACTAATTGCAACCATAATTCAATTTTTTTTTTAAAGTACAAACAAGTTCCAAATAAATTATTAAAAAAATTTAAAAAGTTGCAAAGGAGTGCCAAATAAATTATTGAAAATTAGAAATTATAAAAAATACAAACGAGACCCCAAATAATTTATTTAAATAGAAAGATATATTCATCATTTCACATTCAGAAATTGGATGAAAATGTATAGAAATGATAGTTTGCACAATTAAGTGTGTAATTAAGGGTGAGCATGCCAAAAAATGATAGGTATAGAAATTTTTCAAAATAATAATAAAAGGTAGGGATATTATGTGCTAATTACCCTTTTCATAATTTATTTGGACTCGTCTGCACTTTTTAAAAATTTTGGGACTATAATTGTAATTAGTTCTTTCTTTTTCTTTTTGTTTTATTTAAATATAAAGATATATTCTTCATTTCACATCTTTTAATCGAGAAAATTAATGAAAATGACATTTTGTGTAATGAAAGGTGAAAAAAATGGTGAAAATGCTAAAAAATGAAATGTAGGAACATTTTTCACAATAATAATGAAAGGTAAGAAAATTATATGCTAATTATCTTACGATTTAATATAGTACCAAATCAAATAAAAATATTCAGTTAGTAGTTTTTAATGAAAATTGTTTATGTGTTTGTATTGCAGGTAAATAATTAGATGGGCTCACTGCATCTTTTAACCACTTGTACAGTTTGTGAGTTTGTGTTGTATTGCAAAGAAATTTAAAATTTTCGGCTTATTCATTGGAGGAGCAAATGGAACCCATTTCAGAGAATGTTGCATTTTGTTTCACTATGGTTTAATTCATATTATATAGGAGATAATGTCAAAAATTTTAAACTTATTCGTAATAAGTAGCATATCAGAGTAGCCTTGGAGGTTGGTGTAGCACGAAATCCATTATTACTCTATGTCACATCTTGTATCTACCAGTGCTACTCGAAATAGATCGTCTTAAGAATTTGATAAAAAGTAAATCTAACATGCACATGAGGAATGCATTGAATATCAAAAAATATTTAAATAAATATGTTCTTCATTTAATCCGGTTCAACATGAATGTCCCAATTATTGTATCGTAAAAATGGCAAGAGAAATCTTATACTGAAGGAGGAAATAATAGTTTGGAGGAAGAGAGGACAGGGATCTGTACAATGAGACTGTGGACAAGAATGTAGTGCAGCTTGGTAATGCCTCCGAGGGTATTGTGCCCCCAAGAAAGTTCAATTTTGACGATAGTCTCAACTACTCTTTTTCGACGAAACAAATGAATTTTATGACAAATTTTGGTTAAAAGTGAAATCTATTGGAAAAAATGGTTATGAAATGGGTCAACTTTGAGCCCAAATTTTAGTGGAACCCACCTTTTAATTAATACGGCTCGGCACGGCACGAGCACGAGCACGAGCACGAGCACGTGCCCGTGTCCGAGTCCGGTCCGGTCCGATTTGGTGCGGGTGTGGGTGGACCTTTGCATTATATTAACTTTTTGGACAAAATTTATTTAAAATTTTGGGCCAAATTGTAAATAATCAAATTCTTGGGTACATTATGAAATTTAAATTTTGGCTTATTCCGGGTGTTTTATTTTTTTTTTAACAGTCGTCTGTTTACCGACCAAATAGTCGACTGTTAATCGACTTAACAGACGCGATTTTTAAAAACAGCATGTCTGTTCGGATTTTGAGGTTTGTTTGAAAGGTGATAACTGTTCGAAGGCAGCAAATTCGTTTTAAGGAAACATCGGGAAGTTGGTGGGCTCGAATTACTGTTTACATCACATTGATCAATTCTTTACATTCAGGTGATTCTATCGGATTGGTTTCGAAAGAGTAACGTCAAACTCTAGAAACAACAATCTTAAAACGAATTTGCATTATTATTTTGTTTCTGTTTCTACTCTTTCTTACCATTGATCTTCTGATTGTGTTTCAGAAATGACAACTTCTGGTACCACACTCCTAAATACGACCGGGGAAAAATCAGAAAAGTTTAATGGGTCAGATTTCAAGCATTGGCAACAAAAAATGTTTTTTTATCTGACAACGTTAAATCTGGCTAAATTTCTCAAAGAAGACGCGCCTTCATATACCGAGTAAGACAGTGATGCTGAAAAATTGGTTGCGGTTGATGCATGGAAGCATTCTGATTTCTTGTGCAGAAATTATGTACTTAATGGACCTTATAACACATTATATAATGTGTATTGCAATGCTAAGTTCGCAAAAGAATTGTGGGAATCTTTGGACACAAAGTACAAAATCGAAGATACTGGCACGAAGAAATTCATTGTCGGTCGTTTTTTGGACTATAAAATGATTGACAACAAGACTGTCATATTCCAAGTTCAAGAACTTCAAATCATACTTAGCGACATCCATGCTGAAGGAATGAAACTAAGTGAATCATTCCAAGTCGCTGCATTGATTGAGAAATTACCACCTTCATGGAAGGATTTCAAGAATTACCTAAAGTACAAGCGGAAGGAAATGAAACTTGAAGATATCATTGTCCGATTGACAATAGAAGAAGACAATCGCAAAATTGAAAAAAGGAATGGTGCATCTCATTCGATGGAATCAAAAGCCAACATCGTAGAAGAAGGCTTCAAGACTAGCAAAAAGAGGAAGCACAATGGGGAAGGACAAATTGGTTCTTCAAAAACTACTAAAAAATTCAAAGGCAACTGTTACAATTGTGGCAAGGTAGGACATCGATCCAAGGATTGTCGAAAGCCAAAAAATGTGAAGGGAAAAACTAACCAGG